CTTCCCCACACCTTAGATCTTCTCAGAAAGTATACCTGACTTCATCTAGAAATACACACTTTGGAGAAATGTAATGTCAATGGCGGGAAAATGTCAAAGGCACAATTCAAGTTTTTACTTTGTTTAATGAATTACATTGAATTTCAGAGAACAATAATTCAGAGGTAACATTTGAACAATGCTTATTCTCAGGTTACCTTGTTTTTTCCTTCTAACAATACAATTTACTTACCTCACAATTTTCCACGGAGTAATGTGAGATATACGAGGTGCAGGAAAATTGGGGTACTTTCTAGGAATACAATACTAAAATAACAGTAGGTAAAGTGAACTTGAAAGACATAGCTTGCACAGCTGCCACCAGCTGCAACTGCTTATTATGGCACTATTCACATTGCTTAACCCTACATTTATAGGAACAGCCCTATCTGTGTCCTTTCGACACTTACAGGGCCAGTAAGAAAAAGGAGACTGAAAATTCAGAAATCCTGTTCTGGGCTATGGGTGAAATCTCCTTTATGCCATCTGAATATGGTCATCCAGCCCAGGTAAATGCTGTTGCTAAATTTCACTTCACCTTAGAGTTTGCTGTCAAATGCGTCTAAAGCTCAAGGGCAACCATCACCTGGCTTCAGCATCAATAAATTTCTCAGTGGAAAGGAGAGGCTTGCGTTGATGGAGGTGATAAAGGAAAGGCAAAGAGACTACTGAAATGAAAGACTACCACTCACTGAACATGCTTTCGCTTCCCCCCATCCTCTTGTGCAGATAGAAGAAAAAAAAAAAAAACTAAGAAACTATGAACACATGTTTAAGTAGAGATTAAAAACCAAAAGCTTTAAAAATTTAAACATCCCCTGACGAAAATGAAAATAACAAACTTACCAGCTACTGTAAGGAAAACAACTACATCCTGGTCGAAGCTACAATATCAGCTTGTGTTCACTAAAGCAAACACTGCAGTTTTCTCAGAAATCCAGCTCTGCTGAAACATTAAAGGGGAATTCTACAATTCAGTCACAGCAAAACTGTGACATGGCTCCATGAAAGTAACTGAATGGTTGTACAAGCTATTTATGAGTGAGCCAAACAACTGGAAGAAAATCAGAGAAGAAAGTTTGGAACAGATCTACACAAATTATGAACTCGGGTCTGAATCTGGGCAGATGATAGACAAATAATGCCTGTTGCATTCCTGGTCAAGATCTCAGTATTTCTTACTCTTT